GCAGACCTTTAGAAGGAAAACAAGAGGAGAAACTCAAATGGCATCAGGGAGAAACTTCCTGGGGGAGGAGCCTTGTGTGGGAGGAGCCTCATGAGGGAGCAACCTCCTGGGGGAGGAGCCTCACAAGGGAGCAGCCTCCTGGGGGAGGAGCTTAATGGAGGAGGAGTTGTGGAGCCTTTCTGGTTTTTATAATGATAATTGATATTTTGCCTCTCTTTGTGAGGAGCCTGGAGCTCTCATGTGTGTCCGTTTGTCAGGGCACTTCCCTTCTCTGTTCTTTGCAGTCTGTAATTAATTTTTCACTTATTTACTAAGGTAATGCATCTGCTGCCCTTGTCCCCAGCCAGAATGTAAATCTGCATGGGGACATTTGTCTGTCTTGTCCTCAAGAAAATGTTTGATGAATAGATGGCCCAGTGAACAAAAACTTCACCAGGAGGAAAGAATTTTCTTTATTTGGGAAGCATTCACCCCAAAGAATCCATTTAAAATTATTAAAGAAAACAATCCAAAGCTTTTATAAGAAGAGCTCGTTCCTTTACCCTTTTCCTTTAACATCATAAACGCTTTTTAATAGCAGGAAGAATGACTAGGTCAAAGGCAGAACAGAGCCCCAAGGCCAGGTTCTATGGACCGAATCCAGAGCCTGCTTCTCTAAGCCAATTATTTGAGACATTGGTATAAAATTCTAAATTGGTTTGCCTTCTTTCCTTCTCCCTTTTAATCTCTTTTCTTTGTCCTTCAAGGCAAAGTGCTTTGCAAGGGATAGTGGTTTTGTTCATTATCTAATTATAATTGGCCCTTATAATGAACACATTGCAGTGGGTGCCCAAACAGCCCCTCACACCCAGTGCAAGCTCCCCGAAGGAAAGTAGGAGTGACCGAGAAACAACCGAGCATTGTTATTAAAGCGTGGTCAGTACTCGTTTCACTTTTTATTTTATTTTTTATTAAACAGCACGTTTCTTATAGACCATTGGCATTGCCAATTTTCAAGCATTTCTTGTTTTAGGATTTACATATTAATAACTTAAGGAGCCATCTCCGCATACATTTGTATTCACATTATTTATGGTAATTCCCTCAGCCTCAGAAATATTTGGGAGCATTTAAATCAGCTTTTTCCAAACATGCACAAAATGTTTTCAGTCCCTGGCTTGGTGAGAAATGGTGTGAACCCTCAAGGAAAGAGCAATCTGTTATTCTCTTTTCTCCCACAGATCTTCTCGTTGGAGATAAAAATTCCTCTCTACTGTTCAGAAACAAAAGTAGCAGTGTTTGACACCCCCTGAGCTCTGGATGTCTCTAAGTGACAAACAACTGAATTTTAAATACTAGCAAATGATGTCGGCATACCAGAATTTTATGTGATGATGGCTTTTTTTGTTTCTTAATTTTTTTAACATTTATATTGTTGAGAGACAGAGCATGAGCGGGGGAGGGGCAGAGAGAGAGGGAGACACAGAATCCAACACAGGTTCCAGGCTCCGAGCCATCAGCACACGTCAACACGCCTCTCCTGTGGGTGGGGGTCAGAGTGAACCCCACATCTACCAGCACTGGCTGGCCTGAGAGCCTACTTTGGCATCTATGTGTCTTCCTCATATTGGGGAAGCATGTGCGCGCGTGCGTGTGTGTGTGTGTGTGTGTGTGTGTGTATGGGTGTGTAGTCACCAAAAAATTCTCAGTAGATGTTATTCTTCAGTCTTCTATTCCTTTACTTATAGAGGAATTTCTCTCCTTGTCACCGTTTCGTGGTTGGGAAGCTAGATCTCACAGTGTATTTTGCAAGAAATAGAAAGTAACTCTTTCAGTGTCCATTTCCCAGATGGGTAACTGGAGGCACAAAATAACAGCCTTGCATGGGGATCTGTTTCCATGATAATCAAATGCTCTGTCATTTGGTTTAGCCCCTGTGTGGGGCACGGTTACCCAAGTCAGCACAGAAGCTCATTCTGGTAAATAGCTTCTTTGTTCCTCACTGACAACACAGGTGGTACTTGTAATACGGATCCATTTACCTGAGTCATTAGCTACCGAAACCAACCAGAAAAACTATGTTTTAGTTACTTGAGAACATGTGAACCGCAGAAAAATCAAAAACATTTTCCTAAAACCTGATGGTGTGCATTCTGCATCGGCAGTGGCCGAGAGCAGCGGCTGGACTGCCTGGCCTGTGGTCTGGCCTCCTATGCTCCCAGGGGACTGGGGTAAGTAACCCCCTCCTCCCCGTGTGCTTGTCTATAAAATAGGGCGCTCTAGTGTTGCACGTATTGCTATAAACATTGGGATGCACGTGCCCCTGTGAATCAGCACTTCTGAAAGAGCCCAAGTATCCATCAACTGATGAATGGATAAAGAAGATGTGGTTTATATATAGGGTGGAATAGTACTTGGCAGTGAGAAAGAAGGAAATCCTGCCATGTGCAGTAACATGTGTGGAACTGGAGAGTACTATGCAAAATGAAATAAGTCAGTCAGAGAAGGACAGATGTCATATGTTCTCACTCAAATGTGGAACCTGAGAAATTGAACAGAAGACCATGGGGGAAGACCAGGGGAAAAATAGTTACAGAGAGGGCAGCAAACCATGAGACACTCTTAGATACAGAGAACAAACTGAGGATTGATGGAAGGCTGGGGGTGGGGGGCTAGATGGGGGATGGGCACTGAAGAGGGCACTTGTTGGGATGTGTACATAAGTGATGAATCCCGGGAATCTCCCCCCCCCCCAAACCAAGAGCACACCGTACACACTGTATGTCAGCCAGCTTGACAATAATTTTTTTTTTTTTTTTTTTTAAATGGGGAGCTCTACAGTCGGTTGAGCATCCAGCTCTTGATTTCAGCTTGGGTCATGATCTCATGGTCACGGGATCAAGCCCAATGTGGAGCCTGCTGAAGGTTCTCTCTCTCCCTCTGGTCTCCCATCCCAGTCTCAACTTATATAATGATAAGATTCCATGGAGAGCTGTATGAAACAGGTTGTGCTTGAAACAGGACCCACCCCACGGTAAGAGGCGCATACACCCCAGTATGTATTACAGCCCCTGTTATTATTACGGTTGTGGTGGTGGTTCTTCACTGGTACTCACAGAATTAAACATCACAGATGGTGTAGTCCTGAGGTTATGCCTCTACTCCGTCCGCGAATTGGAGTCTTCATTATTTTTCTAAAAGGAGTCTCACTTTTGCTCCAAACTGAAGGGTTAAGCTTGGCTACATACACATAGTAAGCAAGTTTCAGCTAAGCGAGGAAAGCGAGGTAAAGGGGAAGCACGTTTCGAAGCTTCTGTAAGAGCCAGCCCAGCAGATGTTTTCTCCGGTGGGAGCTGCTCAGAAGTGAATCCAGAAATCTCTATCTTGATTCTTTTTAACTGTCTGAAGGGTAAGGAAACAGTAGGAGGCTGTAGCTGGTTCCTTCTTTCCTCTGTCAACTGCTATTTCTGCTGTGTGCCTGAAGGCAAGGAAGAAAGAGGCGGGCCAGGGAGAGGCTGGGGCTGAGGTTTGGGCTGGATTCAAAGCCAGTGTTCAGGCAGCTTCTTGGGAAGGTGCACAGAGCCGTCTTTGAGAACCCGGTGCCCTCGGGCCGCAGTCCTGGGGCCCCCTTGCCATCAGGAGGTTCCAGAGCTGAGGGGGCCAGCTCAGAGGCCATCAGCAGCCTCAATCCTTGTCCCTGTGGCCTCCTGCATTCAACTCTTAAGGCCCGGATTTGTTTGCCTTCAGGAGCAGTGGAACAGCAATGAAATATGCAATAAAAGCATAGAGCTGGAATAGACCATTCATTCATTCATTCGCTCTCAATGACTTACTCAGTGATCATTTAAGGAATAGCTCTTGTGCTTGGTGGTAGTCAAGTCCCTCTTCTAAACCGTGAAGTCTAATGAAGGAGAGATTCTCAGAGGCAGGCAGTCATGCCACAGGATGAGTCCCAGAACACACTCAGGCCCAGGGATGCTCATAGTAGAGAGGGGCGGAGAGGCCACCTGTATCTGGGGCTGGGATTGGAGCTGGGAGCACTCCTTCTGGGGCAGTCCTAGGGACCCTTAGGCCCTGACCAGGCCCAACTCTAGAAAGCAGAAGTGGGGGAGAAGAGGGAGAGGAACGAGTGTGGAGCAGAGACGGGCAGCTAAGGCTAGTGGCTGGAATCAGGGTGCCCTCACCTCAGGAAGCAGGTGGCTCCAGTGTGGGGCATGAGTGTAAATGGGATCCCAGAGGAGGAACATCAAGGGCACCCTATGCTATTTCAGGAAACATACTTGATCTGGTAAGTCAGTGTTTCCTAAAGCATGACATGGACTGCTGCAATGTTGTCACTCCGGACGTCTGTTAAAATGCAAATTACTGAGGTATGTCCCAAGCTGATCACACTTTTCTGAAAGCAAGTCCCGCAATTTTGTATTTCAGACGTGCACCTTTGGTATTCCTTAGGCATCCTTATGTAAAGTTTGCCAGCAGAGCTGTAGGTAAGTCAGGGTACCTCCGGAAGGTTTAAGCAGAGGGCTGCCTCATGCAGGTGCTAGAGATTTGAGTTGTGTGCTAATTGGCACTCCATAGACTGGCAGTCTCCTCTCCCTAGAGCTCAAGTGACTTGTCAAGCAACTAGAGCTGTGTGCCATTTCCTGGAGAAGCCTCTGTTCCATCGTCCTTTCTGTCACAGTGATCGTGGACGTCCGCATTAAGATGAAGCCCACTATCAGCCCAGGTTCCCACCACTCTGCTGATCCACGGGGGTCTTAGAGCTTGAGGGAGAGATGGGCGGTTGATGTGTGAGCCACTGTAATCTGGGAGTGCCCGCTGCCATGGCATTGCCCACCTGCGTCTCTGTAGTGCCTTCTGCCAGATGCATAGGAATGGGGACCACCCTACTGGGTTGGGGGCGGGGGAGACAGAGTTTGCGGAAGGGTCCAGAGTTGATTGAGAAACAGAGCAGAACAAGCAGGCGTGGAGAGGGAGGAGAGAGCACAGATGCAAGAGACATTAAAGGAATATTTTTTTTACATCAGATGGGTAATGTGCCTGCGTCATAACAAGGTTTAAGGGTGGCACATGTCGTACAACAGCGTAGACACCCAACCATCACGCTTATGAACTACGAAAGGATCTGGCGAGGATGTGGAGAAACGGGCACCCTCCTACACTGTTGATGGGAATGTAAACTGGTGCAGCCCCTCTGGAAAACAGTGTGGAGGTTCCTCAAAAAATTCACAGTAGAACTCCCCTAGGACCCAACAATAGCACTGCTAGGAATTTACCCAAGGGATACAGGAGTGCTGATGCATAGGGGTACATGTACCCCAATGTTCATAGCAGCACTCTCAACAATAGCCAAACATGGAAAGAGCCTAAGTGTCCATCAACAGACGAATGGATCAAGAAGATATGGTTCATCTGTACGATGGAATACTCCATGGCAATGAGAAAGAATGAAATCTGGCCACATGTAGCAACATGGATGGACCTTGAGGGTGTTATGCTGAGCGAAATAAGTCAGGCAGAGAAGGACAGATACCATATGTTTGCACGTATAGGAAGATTAGGAGGAACTTAACAGAGGACCGAGGGGGAGAAGAAGGTGGGGGGAAATGGTGGGGGAGAGGGAGGGAGGCAAACCATGAGAGACTCTTGAATGCTGAGAACAAACTGAGGAGTGATGGGGGTGGGGGTGAGGGGGGGTGATGGGCATGGAGGAGGGCACTTGTGGGGATGAGCACTGGGTGTTATATGGAAACCAACCTTGACAATAAACTGTTAAAAAAAATAAAGGAATAAAATGACCAGAGCGAAGTGAATATCAGATCTGAGAGGCAACATACACATTGAGGAGGTGTGTCCTGTTGCTGCTTTTTGGATGCTCAGGTAGCGGGAGGCAGCACCAGATTGATACCAAATGCGTGGAAAGATGGGGGGTAGGATCATTAGGGAAGGAAGACCGGGAATTCCTTTTCACCAGTTCCTAGGATGTGCCTGAGGGTCCCCTAGGTGGAGATGTGTGCCTGGCAGCTGGCTGTAATTGCCTGAACTCTGGAAGGTGGTTCTGAGCTGGAAACAGACTCCTCGAGGAGATGCTGACCTTAGGGGATGGCACCCACCACGAGAGCCAGTGTGGCCACTTACTTTGAATCTTGTGGGCGTGAACATAAGACCCTGGAGAGCACCGAGAAGGAGTCCAGGAAAGCCAGGGCGTCTTGAGGAAAGGGTAGAGATGATACAGATAAGAGGGCAGCACGGAGAGATTCTTGCAAATAGGAGGGAGTGATTCAAACTATCAAAAGCCTCAGAAAAAGTCATGTTCTAGAAAATTCAAGAATGTTCCTGGGATTCAGCAGTTGGGAAATCATCACCGACTTTAGGGTGTTTTGATAAGGCAACTTAGTTTGCAGGAGGCGTATGAATGAAGAATGTATCATCAGCGAGCAAGCATCACAAGGAGCACCGGGATGGGTGGTTAAAAAGCGGTTGCTGCGCCCAGGCCCCGAAGGTGGGGGCTCACTAGTTCATGTGGGGTGGATTCAGGTGATCCCTGAAAGCTTCTCCGGGAAACCGATGCACATCCAAGTTTGCGACTTACTTATCTTTCAAGAGACTTGGTGGAGATAAAGAGGAAAGGGATGAGTGAGAGATAGAGAAAGGCAGGCGTCCCGTTACTGATAAATCAACAGGGAGACACCCAAGGGACGATGGCTGCAGTGAGGCCCCAGAAGGAGGCCCGGAGGAGGGTGTGGGTCCAGGCAGAGAACCGGAGGGAAGTCTCCGACTTTAAAAGCCTTGTGGACACAGTGTGGGTGTAGAGCTAAGGAATTATGTCCAATTGGGGTGGTGAAGGGGAGGCCTCGGTTTTCTTGAAGTAGAGAAAGAGGAGTGTCTAGGACAACATGAAAGCACGGGCTGAGTAGGAAGGAGACCAAAAGGGAGTGACAGAGGTTTGAGGTGGTCTTGAGGGGCCAGAAGTGGGAGCTAAGTTGTATTTAGGCTACTTTCTGCTGGTGCCAAGATTGGAGACTGTGAGTTTATAGTGGTTTTGTCTCAAATCCACGGGAATCCTCTTGAATTGCGTGCCTGGCATAGGATGGATACGATAGAGGGCATCAACCTCATGACTGCAGGGCACAGCTCGTGTGGTTACCAGGGGACTGGGAGGGGGAGCTTCAGATCATCTGCGGGGAGCTCTGGGTGTCTAGAGAAGGAAGCAGTGCCGGCAGCTAGGCTGATGGGTAGGCGCCAAGAGTGAGGCACCCATGTTGTGTTAAGATGAGGCTGTAGGAAGTTGGATGGGAAGGAGGGACAGGCAGCAAGTTTGAGATGTTTGAGGTGCATTGGTTCACATGATCAGAAAGTTCAAGGTTATGGCCACAGTGATGGGGGTGAAGGTCAGTGGTCCAAGTTCATGTGTCTAAGAATTGTTATAGGTCATGTCCATGAGTATTGAACTATCTTAGAGTCATGTGAAAGTCTCTGAGCTGGGCCCCAGTGGCTTCAGTGAATGTTGAAGGGACTGAAATCCAGATAGCTGGCTGTCCCACCTTTCCCAAGGTGAAGGATACAGCCACATGGTCAAAGTCTTTGCACAGAACTCAAGACCAGAGCCCATTCAGAGTCCTACCAGTTCCTGATCCAGTTTATTTTTCTTCTGATAGTGGATGTTTTAGGTCAGTTTGATAGTAAGTCATTATTCAATTTTAAACTAATACCACGATGAATTAAGAAATGGGAATGGTGTCTGGGTGGCTCAGTCAGTTAATCAGCCAACTTCTGATTTCAGCTAAAGTCATGATCCCGGGGTATTGTGGGGTTGAGCCACGAGTCTGGGCTATGTAGTTGGCTTAAGGTTCTCTCTCTCTTTCTCTCTCTCTCTGGTCTTCTACCCTGCTGTGCACACACTGTGTCTTTCTCTCAGAAAGGAAGGAAGGAAGGAAGGAAGGAAGGAAGGAAGGAAGAGAGGAAGGAAGGAAGAGAGGAAGGGAAGAAGGAAGGAAGGAGAGGAGGGAGGAGGGAAGGGAGGGAGGAGGGGAGGGAGGGAGGGAAGAGAGAAGGAAGGGAGGGAGCAAAGAAGAAAGGAGGGAAGAAGGGAGGAGGGAAGGAAGGAAGAGGAAGGGAGGGATGGAGGGAAGAGAGGAAGGAAGGAAGGAAGGAAGGAGGGAGGGAGGGAGGGAGGGGACGAGAGCTGGGGAGGAGATCCCGAACACGTCGCCTGCTTCACCCCTGCCTTTGCTTCAGGCCCCAGTGCTGAGAACGCTCAAGTGAGAGGCGTAGTGGGACTGTGTAAGCTCGAAGCCTCACTTAGGAAGGGCACTTGTGCACAGACTATCCCGGACACTCACCTTCAGTCACGCGTATGGTTAAAATAAAGCTCCTGAAGACAGGCTCAGCTTTGAGCTTGACATTCTCACCGACACAGCCTTCTGCCCAGGGACAAGCACTCCTTTCACAAGGGAGATTGTTAACAAGAAATGAATCCGCGAGCTTCCCCAAGAGAGAAGCCTCACATCCCTTGTCTTTGTTTCTTCCAGGCACATGCTCTGCACTCCGTATGGGCTCCAAGCCCCCCTCCCTCCTCCCTGCCTTCCTTGGGTCCCTTCCTCCCTTCTGCCCCCTCTGTCCCCTCAGCAGGACACATGGAGTGTGCATGACTGTATGAGTTTCCTAAGGCGGCTATGACTTACACTGATTTATTCTCTCACAGTGCAGGAAGCTAGACTAGTCCAAGATCAAGGTGTCAGCAGAGCCACGTGCCCTCCAAAAGCTCTTGGGAGAACCTTCTTCTCTTCTCTCCAGCTTCTGGTGGCCCCCGGTGCTTCTTGGCTGTGCCATATCTCTCTGATCTCTGCCTCATCTTTACGTGGCTTCCCTGTGTCTTCTCTTCTTGCAAGGTCCTGGTCCTTGGTCATTGATTTAGAGCTCGCCCCAGTCCGGGATGATCTCATCTCTGTTGTGTAACCTAATTACACTGCAAAGATGTAAATTACGAGGGGTGTACCTTTCAACCCACTACCGTTGAAAAAATGGTACCTGAGCAAAACCTGCTTGTGTGCTTTTGTGTTGTGAGTTCATTCCCCCCTCCTAGCTATAGATTCAGCTCCTGGGGGGAAGGAGTGGGTCTTTTGTTTCTTCCCTTCTCCTTTAGTCCCTCTACCGGGGGTACTCGGGATACTTCCCGCTCAGCCTGACCTGCTCCTCTCAAAGGGCAGACTTCCTCTGACCTCGTAACGCTTAGCTCAAGACTCCCCTTCCACATTTCTCCTTCACTCGCTTCCGTATAATATCCGCTCTGCCTCTCCGACTCCAATCTTTCTTGACATCATGGTCTCCATAAAGAGGTTAATTTTTCTCAGATTGGTCTGAATTCCCTCCTTATTGGTTTGCCAGCCTATTTAGGGTACATTCCATACATAGCTTTCGTGTGTGGTCTTAACTCATGCATTGACTTTACAGCAAACACTCTCAGAAAACTGCACGTAACAGAAGCTTCTGCTACAACGCAGGGAAAGCTGTGTTTGCTAACTCAGTCGGGCTGTCCCAAGCATATGAGTCAGCCTCACATTTGGCTGCATGAAACGGAAAATCAAACTGCGGAGGCTGAAACAAATGGAAATTTATTTGCCTCCAGTAAAAAGAAATCCAAAGGTGGAAGGGACACTGACCTTGGTGCGGAAGATCTGTGAAATCGGGACTGCCGTTTCTGGAGTCCATTGGCTTTTCTCTCACCATCATATGGAGGCTGCTGCAGATCCAGCCATTTCATCTACATTCAAAGCAAGCAGGAGTAGGAAAGTGAACTTTTCCTGTGAATTGTGCCTGCTCCTTTTTAGTAGGAAATTAAAAGCCAATGCAGAGACTCTTTCTTTTCTGAAGCTGATTTGACTCCTACCTGGTTCCACTCCCAGGTACATGGGAACCTGGGGAAGCAAGTGTGTGGGTTTCTAGCCTTCGTGGGAACCTAGGGAGAGGGGGTGGGGAAGCCTCGATGAGCTAATCACCAGCATTCGCTACTCCTCCGAGAGCTTATGTGACCCCACGTGTCCTGGTCCCTACAGGTCCTCACCACACCACCTGATGTCCTGCCTGATGACTGATAGGAATAGCTATTAATTTAGTTGACAGTAA